AATTGCTTCTTGGTAGCTCTCCGGCTCCCCTTGATCAGAAATCAACACAAATTCATTGGGAAAATACTTTCTTGAAGGTTGTCGGTCTCTTGTAGATTTCCTCAACTCAAGTTGTGGTGGCGGTTCTTGAGTTGGATGCTCTTCCTCAATTTCTGGCTCAACTTCATTAGAATTAGCATCATCCTCTACATCTTCAATAGGTGGCTGCCACATCTTCTCTCTTTCATCATCAACTGAAGATGAAGGAGATGGATCCATGTCAATGAGATCACTAGTTTTTGGCTCCGGTTAATCACCTTTGCCAAAGTCTTCAATTATTTTGGTCTCAAGAAACACACATTCCACGGTCGAAATAACTTCGAAACTAAAACGTGAACAGATCTTTCTACGCCTAACAGATATAGACACAAACAATGCATCACACACATGCAGTTTAATTCAAAATTTCACCGTAATTGCTAATTAGGCATAATTAATCATGGATTAACATTAATCAGAGGTCGAGATTGTTACAATACATCTCGTGCATGAATGCATCATCAAAAGATCTAAATCGCATAACCTATACGCTTTCATCAAAAATTTTGCCGAAACTGCCTTTCTCCTAGACAAATTAGACGGCCAACCAATTTATTGGCTGGTCAACCAAAAACTTGGCTTGGCCGACCAATTTCTTGTCCAACCGGCCAAAATATTGGCCGTGGCTTACTGTTTTGCATGAAATAGGATGTTTTGACAGAATTTTCGTCTTTTACACCTATTTCCACATTGTTCTTTGCCCAATTTCCTGAGAAAATGTTTCATTTTGAAGTTTAAAAGTGAGCCTTAGAACACTACGAAAATATTTGAAACAAAGCACGTAAAGAAAGTTTCGAAAGAGAATTTTAAATGGGATTTGAACACTTGGCCAAAATAGGTTTTGGTTTGGAAATGAAGCACAAATTTAATCTTTCTTACTGAGAATTTTGCAAGAAACACATTCTTGTTTTCATTATCGAGTAATCAAAAGAAAGTACCCAAGTCTTAGGACTAGTCAAAATGAGGTGTCTACAGTAGACATGCATGCAAAGTCACTAGGCATACATTAGACTACTTGGTGTCAACCCATTATGTTGGGGCACCGCTCCACATATAAGAGTTGCAAGCTGAAGTCGAACTGTCTGCTCATGGCATTCTTCTCCACTTTAATCATCAACATCCTTGTTGATGTAGCCTATTAGCTACCTCTACATTGCGTTCCCACCAGCTCGTCCGACCTTTATTGACAACCTAACATGAACATCCAACTCTTTGGCCAAGTAGATCTACCTTCACAAAATCGCAGATGCACTCCATCTAACAAAGACTACTCCAGTATGATGAACAATTATCCCCTCTAATTTCGAAGCTCCACTCTTGAGTAGATGAACTAGTCCCAAATAGTTTCTTCCAAATCAAGCAAGTCACCCAAAATGACGGTCTTCCCTGGCGCAACTTCTTAGAGAAAAACTCTTCTAAGTTCTACTCCATTCCTCCATTGAGCAAAACTTGAAGTGGTTTGTCACAACGTGACTTCCTCCTACACTCAAGTTATCGACGCCCTCGTTGACTCAATCCAAATGAATGTACTCCATACCAAGTGATTGAACAATGTCCTTTAGAAAGTACAAAGCTCTCTGGATGACATATTCGACAAGACTTAAGTACCCATGTGTTGTGCTCACTGGCAAAACAGAAGCCCTTTAGATATTGCTCACTAGCAAACTCAAATCTCTAAGTCCCACTGGCTGAACCAAAGCCCTCTAGAAAATCTCAAGTATCACCGTATTTGGCTGAAGTCCTCTAATGTCTATTAACAACTCATGTCTTCAAAGCCCTCTAGCTGATGCCCTTTTGGAAAAGCCCCTTGGCTGATGCCCTTTTGGAAAAAATTTAGCCCTCTAGTACCGAAGTCATCTTGACTTTACCACCCTACAACATGGTTGTTCTGTTGACAATGGTAATATGTGTATTCATCCCAACTCTCTCCAGTAGACATGTACTCAATGTACGATGCCACTTACACACGGGATCAAGAATCAAGAAAGATATAGATTTTGTTTCTTTCTAAATAACCCACCAAATGTCAACAACCAAGCATTCAAAAGATGCATCACCACTGACAAGGCAAACAATATAAATGAACTCCCCCAAACTAGGATCAAACCTGACTACATGTAACTGTTGACCGGAGAAAGCACACATGCAGAACTAACATCCTCCAATTTAGTAGAGGCTATTAGGGAAAATATATGATTTTTCACAAGTAAATCAATCAATAGAAATAAAAACGAATGTGGAAAAATTAAATCAACAATGACACAAGAATTTTACGTAGTTCCCTTAATGTGAGGTACGTCCACGGGATCGAAATCCGATTCCACTATCAACCAAATAAGTTTCTAAACGATTACAAATGAGACACAAATGGTCTCACAAAACCACCTTTAGGTGAATTCCAAATAATCACAAATAAATAAGAGGAAAAACCTCACCAAATAGATGAACAAAATTTTCAAAACTAGAGTTAAAAAAGACCCAAAATAACGAACCAAATCGACTTCAGAACAAAGGCAACATAAGCATAAACAAATCAAACACCTTGACAAATCTTTACCAATTTTAAATCTTCGGCACTGTTACCCAACCAAGACACTGTTACCGAACCAAGGCATTAGTATGGCAGCCGCACACTTTTTGATGAAAAACAAATCTCACTATCTCAAATATTGAACAATATATATATATATATATAATTGGGTATTGAGTTTTGTAATCAAATTCTAATTATTATCAAATTGAATTAGATTTTTAAAAAATTTGATATAATATATATAAAATATATTATACTCAAACCAAACTAAATTAAAATTTTTTAACCAAAACTAATTAAATCCTACACTCCAATAAAAAGATATACCCAATATCCATGATCACAATGACATGGCGGCAGGCCCAAACAAGTGGAGAGAACAGCTGGTCTACTAGAAAGGTAGATTCAGTTCCTCTCTCAATGAAAATATAAATTGAGAAATAAGAATTTTTATTTTCTTCTTTTACACGTATGTTTAGGCCTCGTCAAGAAATATTTTTCCTCAAATAATTTCCGGGGAAAAAAAAATTATAAGATTCAAATTATTTTTGAATAACAAAATTTATTGTAAACTAAACGACTAGAGAAAAGTAAGGCCCCGTTTGGGGACTTACCTTTGTAGTTAAAAAGTCAAAAAGTTATCTTTTTAGTCAAAAAGTTAAAGATTTTTTTTTTCTCTACTTTTTGCACATCTTTTCGTAATTAGCTAAAAAGTCATCCCAAACATATAAGTTTTTTTTACCTACTTTTTTAGCTAAATAGCCAAAAAGTTACTAAATTAGTCTGTTCCAAAACGAGGCCTAAGACTGTGTTTGGTAAGGTTTTCAAAAATTAATTTCCCCTTTATGTTCAAATAATATGTTTGGTAAGAGTTTTTAAATTGTAATTCTAAATCAATTTCAAAATATGTTTTGAAAACAAGTTTGATAAGAGTTTTAATTTTTGAATTTTGGGTCTACCCGGTCATCTATCTAAACGTCCAGCCGATTGACTGGAACAGTGTAAATTTTTTTTTTTTCCCAATTGTCAATCACCACCTGTTGTTTGGGGGAAAAAAAAAGTTATATTTGTTTTTGATATTTTTTAAATATAGAAATTATTTTTTTAGACTAAAATGACAAATTATTTTTTTGAATTAAATTTTAAAAAGAGTTTAGTTATAAATTTTGAATAGAGTTTTCAGTTGTATGTTTGGTCATAAGTTATATTTTAAGTTTTTGAATTAAGTTTTGAAATTTTTTTCAGAATTCATAACCAAACAAATTTTCTCATTTCATATGTCACATCAAAAATTTCAAAACTCAACTCAAAACTTATAACCAAACAAATTTTTTCTTTGCAAATTATAATTTCAAAACTCACAAACTCAAAATACAATTTCATTATCAAATATAATTCTAAAACTCTACCTACGGGCATGTTTGGTAACTATTTCGTTTTCAGTTTGTATTTACAAAAATTTTAAAAATTGTCACAAAAACTTGTTTGATAATTTTTTTGATTTATAAATAGTTGTCTCAGTTTATATATTTGAAGAAAAAACGTAAACTCAAAAAATGAGTTTACGTTGATTTTTAAACAAAAATTTAAAAATTTAACTAACAAATTTTTTTTCAATTAATTTTTTTCCCAAATAATTTCTTTTTCAATTTTTTTTTTCAATTAATTTTTTTTTTCAAATAATTTTTTTTTTCAATTAATTTTTTTTTTCAATTATAATGAGTATGATTTCATTCTCATAAAATAATAAAAAATAAATATAAATATTTTAGGTCTGAACAAACTTTTTTTTTTAATTTATGTTTTTAAAATATTTCAAACATTTTGTTCAAACCAAACGCATTTATAGTTTATATTTTTTTTAAAATAAACAAAAATTGGTTTATAAAATTTTTGTAAATATAAACAAAAAATGTAAACGTTACCAAACACTACCTACCTAAATATTTTTTTTATTTTACTTTAATTCATTTTTGACATGTCTAATTGGTTGTGTTTTTTTATTTTTATACTTTTGAGTAAAATTCGAAAAGTTATTTTAACTTTATTTTCTCACAAAAATAAAAATAATACAAAAACAATGAGAATTTTCGAACAATTTATTATCTTTGTTAACAAATCAAAAACAAAACAAAGAAAAAAAAAATACAGCCAATCCAAGGATCTTGAATTTCCTTCTGTTTAATTCATATTTTCATTCTTTTTTTTTGGGTACAACATTGTTGACAATTGAAGGGAGAAGAAACTATTCAAGTAAAATAAACCTGTAAGGAAAACCACCCAACAAAAATCCAAGCCACCAAGATGTGTGGCTCTCATTGCACCATTGAAATCTCTCACACAACACCAACCAAAAAAAAACCCAAGGCCCTCAACATTCCAACACTACACCCCCATATCTCCACATAACAAAACCAAATAAAAACAACCAAAACATCTCTCACAACCTTTCTAAACAACTAAACAAGATTCAAGAACTACAAGAAAAGCCACCTTCACCTTTCAAATTTTTTTTTTTTCCAGCTAACTAGCTCTTCAAATGGCCACTTCAATTTGTGCAACTGGGTTTAAAGGAGGTTTGTGTTCATCTTTCCATGGAAGTTGGGGAACTTCAATGGTAGGTGAGGACTACAACAACACCATGCTAGCCAAATCAGTCCCAACCCATATCCGGGTCGGAAAACCGGTGCGATCGCGACCAATGATGAAAAACGTGAATGAAGGGAAGGGTGTCTTCGCTCCGATTGTCGTCGTCACGCGAAACATCATCGGAAAGAAGCGGTTCAATCAGCTCAGAGGCAAAGCCATTGCTTTACACTCTCAGGTAAAAAACTCTTCCTTGCATGGGTACAAAATTGACATATCCCCAATATTTGTGAGTCTGTTAAAATTTGTCAATTCGAATTAAATTTGATTTTAAGTGTTAACAAAGGTTTTTACATCACAAAATTCTACTGTTAATGTTGGGGCATTCGAATTAAATTTGATTTTAAGTGTTAACAAAGTTTTTACGTCTCAAAATTCTAAAATTTAGAACAAATTATGTCGGAGGTCTTATATTTTGATCGTTTATCGTTTTGGTTCTTAGAATTGTGATGGGTTCAATCTTAATTGATAAATTTATTGTTATAAATTTATTCATTAATATTTACTATCCTTATTCATATTCATTCACTCACTTATAAGAATCTACCATCATCTTTCACATACACAAAGAACAAGAGAAATTGATAAATTTATCACTAAATAATAAATCTGAATTTGAAACAAAGGAGGCAGTGGTGATATGGTAGTTATGTAAATCGGCGATGGTGGAGTGTAGATCTACGACGGTGAAATATAGATCGACGGCGGCAGAGTGTAGATCTGTGACTAGAGGTGGACATTTGTCGGGTCAGGCCGACACGACATAGTATGGGACTTTGTGTTTGTCCAAGCCTGCTTGGCCCTAACCATGTGCCTCTACATTTGCCCAAATCTAGCCCAAAAAATAATTATAAATCCCAAGCTTATCGAGCTATATATTTAAAAAAAATTCCGTAATTAAATTCAATCACACTTTATATTTTTTAAATAAATATACTAACATCATTATAAATTGAAGGATTTTGTGTATAAATTGAAAGATTTTCTTAAATAAATTCAATCACACATCACCACAAATTTGAGTTTTAATAAAAACGTCTCAAAATTCTAAAATTTAGAACAAATTATGTCGGAGGTCTTATATTTTGATCGTTTATCGTTTTGGTTCTTAGAATTGTGATGGGTTCAATCTTAATTGATAAATTTATTGTTATAAATTTATTCATTAATATTTACTATCCTTATTCATATTCATTCACTCACTTATAAGAATCTACCATCATCTTTCACATACACAAAGAACAAGAGAAATTGATAAATTTATCACTAAATAATAAATCTGAATTTGAAACAAAGGAGGCAGTGGTGATATGGTAGTTATGTAAATCGGCGATGGTGGAGTGTAGATCTATGACAGTGAAATATAGATCGACGGCGGTAGAGTGTAGATCTGTGACTAGAGGTGGACATTTGTCGGGTCAGGCTGACACGATATAGTATGGGACTTTGTGTTTGTCCAAAGCCTGCCTGGCCCTAACCATGTGCCTCTACATTTGCCCAAATCTAGCTCAAAAAATAATTATAAATCCCAAGCCTACCGAGCTATATATTAAAAAAAATATTCTGTAATTAAATTCAATCACACTTTATATTTTTTAAATAAATATACTAACATGATTATAAATTGAAGGATTTTGTGTATAAATTGAAAGATTTTCTTAAATAAATTCAATCACACATCACCACAAATTTGAGTTTTAATAAAATCAGCAAAGATAAAGTATAGATCCTAATAAATAAAATAAAAATTAATATATTATAATTAATTAATTAATTTAATATAGCGGCCGAACTAGGTTGGAAGTATAAATTCCAAACTCAACCCATTAATTTATTGGATTAAAAATGTTAGCCCGGCCTTATGGGTTAAAACAACTTTTCCAAACCCTAAAAAAATAAGACTGGTTAGACGGACTGGATAGGCCAACGAGCCGATGTCCACCCCTATCTACGACGATGGTAAAGATAGTTGGTAAATGGTCGTGGCATTCGAATAATGATGGTGGTGATGGTGGGGTGGGTAGAGAGTGACAGCGGGGCAGTTGGGCTGGTGGATGGCAACGCTGGCGATAGTGGTAGACAACGGTGACGTGAAACTTTGGAAAAATAAGAGAGAGAAAGAGAGAGAGAGAGACACAGAGAGAGAGAGAGAAAAGATGATAAGTGGACGACGACGGTGACGAGTAGATGACGACAGCGGTGGTCTTACGTGGATAGTGACGACAGCGGTGGTGGTAGACAATGGTGGTGTGAATCTTTTGAAAAAAATGATGGAGATAGAGGGGGAGAGACGAGAGAAAATAAGATGGATGAACTTCATAGGTATATGTATTGTAGAATTATTGGTGCATTGAAGAAGTCAATCGGACATAATGATATTTAAGTCTAAGGTGTCGTTTGGGAAGTGGGTTGACTTTTTGACTTTTTGATTTTTTTAACTATTTTAGCCTGGGCTAAAAAACTTTGTTTACGAAGGGTTTTTTTACTTTTTGGCTTTTTTGACTTTTTTTGTGAGAGAAGAGTGTAATGATTAAGATGTGATGTTTTGTTTTTTTGTGGCTAAAATAGCATATTTTGTCTTTTGTAGCTAAAATAGCCAAAAAAAACCCCAAATAGCTCTTCCCAAACGGAGCCAATTGGTAATTATTCCTATTTTTATTTAGGGTTAATTAAACCTTTAATCTTGTACTTTGACCTAAAATTCACTTTTGATCCCTTATAATTTTAAATTCAACAATTTGATCTTTGCACTTTAAATACAATTTTAATTTGGTCATTTCATAAATTTTTTATTACCTTTTCTCATTTAATTTAAAATGAACTAAAGCAAAAATTTGAATAAAATTATAAGAGTAAAAAGTATAATTTACCCTAATATTAATGTTTCTTTTTGTATGATATAACTGTGAAATTTTCAGGTGATTACTGAATTCTGCAAATCAATAGGGGCAGATGCAAAACAAAGACAAGGCCTGATTCGTCTAGCAAAGAAGAATGGAGAAAGGCTTGGATTTCTTGCTTGATGAAAAAATAACATGTATGAGAAGTGTCTTTTTAGATTTTAAGTTTTGAGCACTTTGAGGCAAATATAATTTGTTAATTGAAATTTAGACTAGGTGTATCCCTTATTCTTCTTATGCACTTTACATTTATCAAATCTAATGGGTAATATACAATGAAAATAGGGAAAATTAGGTCGTTAATTTTTTTTTCTTTCTTTTTTTTATTATTATTTTTATTGTGTAATTTTAATCTGTTCAATTATGATCATAAATTTTTTATCGTCTCAATTTTGTCAAATTGATTATAACTGTTAACATTTTTTTACAAAAAATATGTACATTGAATAAGTAAAATTATAAATTTATCAAACTCAGTGAGTTAACCTCAACATGTATCGATCATTTTTTGGCAAAATTCTAACAATATTATCAATTAAACTAAATTGACATAAAATCTAAAATTTAAAGTTAAAATTGAACCAAAGTGTACTAGAATCATACAAGAAGTAAAAAAATAAGGACTTACCAGTTTAACTTGTCAAAAAATATATACATATACAAAATGATATATTGATCATTTTTCAACAAAACTCTAACAATGTTATCAATTGAATCAAATTGACATAAAATCTAAATTATAAATTAAAATGGAGCCAATTTAAAATGTAAAAACCAAAATGATATAAGAGGCAAAATGTAAGGACAACCAGTGTAACTTGTCTAAAAAATATATACAAAATAATAGATTGAGTTGTAAGTCTATCAATTTAAAACTTAGAACTTATTGAAATATGTTTTATTTACAAAACGACAACAACCATATCATTCTGATGAGTAATTTATGTACTGAAATTTTGGAACAATAGTATTTTCCTTGAAGTTTTAGTAGATTTACAATCAATAGACCATCACATCACTCAAATTGGATTATGTTGGCTGATAAGAATTCAATGACACTATTTGTAGCTACTAAAATGATTGGATAAGAGGATCATTTGTCGAGATCTTTCATGTCTCCTATACTCAAGACCTTTCTTCACCACACGATCAGGCCCAATTGTCATCTCAAGACCCCTCTTCGCCACACGATGAGGCCCATTGTGTAGAGCAAAGTTGGTTGGACAAAAGATTTAACCTAAAAAATGATCTACATTGCATCATGAGTTATCATAATAAGCCATTAGCAACTCAAGCATTCTAATTATAGAAGAAAAAAAATTTGCACACTTGTGTTACGTTATTGAAAATTTTGCAGACCAGATCAATGAGCAACTCTAGCAATGAACAGAAGATTGCCAACTAAATCGAAAAAACATCTCCTAAGCAAATCACTCTACTTAATGTAGTGGCAAAATGAGCGCTAAAGCGGGGGAGGGGAATTATGCCATCTAAGTATTATTTGTCAAACTTGGCTACCAGAAGGAGAGATAGCTCAATGACCAACCAAGGCATAACGTGGAGAATTGACCCATCACTGTCGTTTCCCTTCTAGAATCATCTTACAAGAATCAGAGTAGTTAGAGATATAATGAGACACCATGGCACTTGAAAACTGTTGGGAAATTAACGAGTTGTTTGGGGTGTCCTAAATAAATGCACTTTTTGTCTTTTTGGATTAAAAAGTAGACGAAAAAAATATGGATGTTTGAGTTAATTTTTTGACTTTTTACAAAAAAATGTGTATTAATATATTGAATAAAATTGGCACAATATTGAAAGTGGCACAATGTTGGAAGTATACTCTGATACCAATGTCAAAAGTGGGAAAGGGGTGTAAATCCATGTATGATTCACAAAAAGGCACAATATTTAACGTGGTTTGGCCTCATTGTCTACGTTTACAGAAAAGTAACCATTTTCACTGTATAATGAAAATTATAAAGAGATTACAATGGAGGAGGACTCTTTTTCAGTCAACCCCAATGAACTCCCCCTCTCACACCGAAGGAGCTCCCCTCTCTGCCACTAAGGGTCAATCTCTCATTTAGCTCTCTAAACAGAGCAATTCTCTGTAACTCTCAAACTCTCTAAGAATCCAATCTCCCTGACTAGAGATGGCTTTGTATCTCCCACACTTGGAGATTACATTTTCACCTACTCTATCTAAAATAATCAATATAACACACAGAGAAATCTCTCTCATGATTTCTCTCTCGCATGGAGGAACTCACACTTCCTCTCATTTCCACATATGGTGAGAATCTTACACCTTCTCAGAAATCCTATAATTCTAATACAATCTTTATTTATAGATTTTAATCCGTGTACACAACTTCAAATCGTGTTTCTTCACTTTTGGGTCAACAATGGAGGTTTCCTCATTCTCTTTCTTCCAGTAGCTTCTCTACTCTTCTTCTTTAATTTCTTCCATTCCTCAATCTCTTGTAGCTTCATCTTCTAGCTTTTTCTTCACTAATTCAAATTTAAATTGAGTTTGAATTTCTAACATCCCCCCTCAAACTCAATTTGCTGGATTCTCTACATGATGCCTCATATTTTCTCGTGGATCTCATCTTGACCTTTTGTCTGGTCTTTGTAGTCAATCATTTATTAACTTATATCTCTCTCAGAACAACCTCTTGTTGTTTGGTGCTATCAACCTCCTATTGATGTCTTCTCTCTTATAGATTAACCATATGTTGTCAGTTGCGTGGTATAATCACCTGTTGTCTACTGTAGTCAATCACCTGTTGACTTATGTCCCCTATCTTTGGACCATGTCTATCTCGTCCACGACTTCTTCCTCCACCGCTCTGTGGTGTTCTCCAGTGCTCTTGTTCATTCCCTTTGAACGTCAAACTCGCATGAAGAGCTTGTTCTAAAGAACTTACGGAAGTCTTCTTGTTTATCATCTACTCGTGGATTTCCAATGTTGCTTGCAACTCTTCAACTATTAAGTCATTGAAATCTTTCAATTCTTCTATGGCAACGACAACATTTTTTAACTTTGAATTTAGGGATTGAAGTATCTTCTCAATTACTCGAATATCTTCCATCTTATCTCCATATCATCTGATCTGGTTCACAATGGTCAGAGTCTTCACAAAATACTCTGAAATGGACTCATTATCCTCAATCTACAATAGTTTGAACTCTCCCCTTAATAACTGGAGTCAAATCCTCTTGGTTTTTTCAATTCATCGATGTGAATTTCTAAGAATATTCCATGCTTCTTTGGAAGTAGTTGCGGTTGAGATCTTCTCAAAACTCAACTCATCAATTCCATGATAAATCAGGTACATGACTTTCTGATATCTTTTTCTTGAGTTTCTTAACGTGGCCTTTTGTGTATCCTTTAGCCTTTTTTCATCTTCCGGGTTCGTTGGTTCATCATAACCTTGATCTACTAAGTCCCACACATCTTGTAAGGCATAACAACCCCGACTTATGATTAACTGATTAACCATGATTAATTATGCCTAATAAGTAATCAAGAAGAAATCCTGAGTTAATTGCATGTGTTATGTGCTATATGAGTTTCTATCTGTCTATCGTAGGAATATATGTTTTTGTTTTTGTTTTGTACTGTGAATTGAAGGCCTTATCGGCACCCGATCACGAAATTGAATTGAATTACGTGTTAGTTGGAATTTTGGAACTTTATGGTAGGTTTAATTAAAATTCAGTTTGGAACAATTAAATTAGAATAATTTAATGCTCATTAGATTAGTGGTAAGCTAATTAATTAATTTCTTTAATCAAACCTATTTAAGGCCACCTCAATATCCCTTATAGACTTTTGCACTCTCATTTCCTCTTGCTTGAACCCAAAAACATGTAGAGAGAGAGAGAGACTTAGGAAAAGTGACTTCAAACAAAGGAATTGCTTGAGAATTTGGAGATTTGGCTAGGAACTTCAATTGATTAACTCTAGAGAGCATAGTTGAGCATCTAAGGTAAGAAATCCAACCCTTAGTTGTGTAATTGAATTAGTTTTGTAAGAATTCTAGTGAAAAAGGTGGAATGACATGAGAATGAAGCTAGGATTATAAAATTGTAACCCAAATCATTCATGCATCCATATATCATGGCATTTTGAGTAGATTTCTAAAGAATTGTCACATGCATGTGTTTATCTTGACTTGGTTTTTAGAATTCATCACATTTCTTACCATTTGACCTTAATTGATCATGTTTTGGAAAGCCTTAGTTCAGAGTAATTCATGCATGTCATGTTCATGGCATATTCATAAATTTCAAGTAATAGTTTTGATCAATTAGCATGCTTTTGGGCCTTGATTTAGTGAAATGATCTTCAAATCATGGTATTTTGCAAGTATCTAAAAGTTTTCTGGAGTTTTTACCCCAAAAGATAAGTTTTGAAGTGTGTAATTCGAGTTTGGAGCTTAGTAGTGCAATTTGGAAATTTCAGATTCTGCACTTCCGCTCGAGCGACCACTCTGTAATCTTACACTTCCACTCGAGCGACCAGAAGTCCGCTCGAGTGTGAAATATGAACTCCCAGAAGTTTCATGTTTTTGCAGACGGCTCGAGTGACCGTCGAGCGTTCGTCAAACGTGAAAATCACACAACCAGTACTTTTTCAAAGTTTGCAGATCGCTTGAATGAAGGAAGTTGCGCTTGAGCGGTCCCTCACATGTTTGCATGTCCGCTCGAGCGAAGGAAGTTGCGCTCAAGCAAGACCCTTATTTTCAGCAAGTTTTGTTAAGGGTTTCAAAGTGTATTTTGGCATCCACATTGCATCCTAGGCATTCCTAGGCCATGATTAATACTCAATAAGAGGTTAAGACTTAGAAACACACTAAGAATGAAAACCAACCGAGTGTGTGTTTCATTATGTGTTTTTGCTATGTGTGTGTGTAGGTCACGCGCCACAAGTTATCTGATTTGTTTGCTTCGCAAGTGGAGCCATCTGTGAGTAATAACTTTGTAAAGTTATGTTTACGTCTAAGTAATTTCTTATATGATATGATATGAAAAGAAATGCTTTGTTTTATGAAATGTTATATTCTGTCCAATGAATGATTGTTCAATTTCTGGCAAGTATTCGTGGCATCCTTAGTACAAGACCCTTGCCCGGGGGGAATAGTACCGTGGTCTCATGGCCCTTGCACGGGGGTAATAATACCGCGGCTCAAGTATATTACAAGTTCCCGATACCGGAGGTTCTTTATGAAACTGACAAGCATGATAACGCTATTGGATGTACCTTGTATAATGAAGCATGAACTTTAATTTTTGTATGAAGTTGAACAAGAAAATGACTATAAATCTGTTTTTGATATGAACTCTAGTTTCCGATTCTGTTATGGACATCATTCAT